CTCAACTTGTCTAATACTTAGCTACTCATCATTTTCCCACCCAAACCCCCTCCTCCTCCTGTGGTTCCTCTCCCGGGGAAGGGCTGTTATACAAGCCCAGCATCTCAAGGTCACCTTGCCCCTGCCCCTCACCCCCTCTTGTTGAATGCTTCGCCCTGTCTTGTTGACCCTGCCTGACCATCTCACGTGTGTCTACTCCCTCCCCTCTCCTTGGCTCAGCCCAGCTCTCCTGGACTGGAGTTCTAGCCTGGGAGTCTTCCTGTCTCCACTCTTGCCCTCGGACAATCCATTCTCGACTCTACCGAGTGATCTTTCTAAAATGGAATCCTGACTGTGTTTCCTGTTGTAAACCTCCCACTGATTCCTTCTGACCTTCAGGATAGGGTGTGAACTCCTTAATCCAGGCTCAGGATTCTTCCTCATCCAGCCCCTGCTTCCTTCTCCAGCTTCCTGCCTCATCGCTCGCTCCACATTCCCGCCATGCTGACCTGATTCCAGATTTCCTTCCCCGGGTATGCCACACTTTCTCTGCGGTGCCATTGATGGCGCTGAAGAAAAATGCACACAGGGACTTGTTGCTAGTGGAATGGAAGGTGGGCAGCAGATCTGAAAGGGCGCCTTTTGCAAACCTGTTCTTAGCACGGGTGATAATGAAGGAAGAAATGAGTATGGCAGCATCGCTGGAGAGGGCTGCAAATGGGACGCCGGGATAACTGCCGTTACTGAAACTAAGGCAGAAACCTAGAAGGCGCATTCACGTCAACAATGAATTAAATCAAAACAGTGCATCGTAGACAATTTAATATCTTTGAAGTGGAAGTGGTGCCTAAAATAGATAATGACTCGTAAATTTGTAACACAACTGAATAAAGGCCCAGAGTAGAAAAATAATCCGAAGTGCTCCCTCATAACTTCAATGTCGCATTTGGAGTATTTTTGCTCATACAATGATTCTACCAACAAGAATGATCGTAATTTTTATTTTTATCTTATATTATTATTATTTTGAGACAGAGTCTTGCTCATCGCCTAGACTGGAGTGCAGAGGTAATCTTGGCTCACTGCAGCCTCTGCCTCCCGGGTTCAAGTGATTCTTATGCCTCAGCCTCCTGAGTAGCTGGGATTACAAGTGTGTGCCACCACGGTCAGCTAATGTTTGTATTTTTAGTAGAGACGGGGTTTCACCATATTGACCAGGCTGATCTCGAACTCCTGGCCTCAGCTTCTCAAACTGCTGGGATTACAGGTGTGAGCTACCTTGGCCAGTCTATTATTATTTTTTGTAATAGAGACGGGGTCTCCCTATGTTGCCCAGGCTGGTCTTGAACTCCTGGGCTGCAGCGATCTGCCCACCTCAGCCTCCCAAAGTGCTGGGATTACAGGCATGAGCCACCACGCCTGGCCCATAAATTCCATTTTCCAAAAATATATAGTTTCCGTGCCACCTCATATTGTCCTACCCTGGGCTCCCTAAACTTCGTTCCTCTGCCTGAAACACATACTGGCCGAGAAATTTTGTTCAAGTAATTTACCTTTCCATTCCTTCATCTATAAAAATGTGCATAATAGGTCAAGTGGGGTGACTCACGCCCATAATCTCAGCACTTTGGGAGGTCCAGGCAGGTGGATCACCTGAGGTTGAGAGTTCAAGACCAATCTGACCAACATGGTGAAACCCCATTTCTAATAAAAATACAAAAAATTAACCAGGCATGGTGGCAGGTGCCTGTAATCCCAGCTACTCAGGAGTCTGAGGCAGGAGAATCGCTTGAACCTGGGAGGCGGAGATTGTGCCGCTGCACTCCAGCCTGGGTGACACAGTGAGACTCTGTCTCAAAAAAAAAAAAAAGATAATAAATTTAAAAAATAATAACAATAGTACCTACCTCATGGGTTGTTGTAAGTTAATACTTGTCAAGCACTGAGAACATTGCTGCCACAGAGTAAGTGATCAACATTTAGTAACACACTGCCGCCACTGTGGTTATTGCTGTGTTGTTGTGATGATTTGGTGTTTGTTATCATCTTCCTTCCTTCGGTTGCTCTCCTTCCTAACTCCTCCATGTTCTCCTGTTCTGAAACCAGGAGTGATTCCTGCAGCATAGACTCACCCCAGCAGCTGTCCAGAGTGGACATCCTCATCTCCCCTTCTCAGGGAAGCACATGACATTCAGTATTTTGCCCAGCTTCCCAGACTGGGAATCTGGCTTTGGGTCCTGATGACTCTGAAGCCGGGGCTCTGGGTCCACTACCCTGTACCATCTCCCACCATCTCTATTCTGATTTTCCCAGCTCTCTGCCTTATGCCTGTATCTGCAGCTCCTCACTGCCTGGCTCTTGTTTTGTTTTGTTTTGTTTTGTTTTGTTTTGTTTTGTTTTGTGACAGAGTCTTGCTCTGTCACCCAGGCTGGAGTGCAGTGGCATGATCTCAGCTCACTGCAGCCTGTACCTCCCAGGTTCAAGTGATTCTCCTGCCTCAGCCTCCTGAGTAGCTGGGATTACAGGCGCCCACCATCACATCCAGCTAATTTTGTGTATTTTTAGTAGAGATGGGGTTTTGCCATGTTGGCCAGGCTGGTCTTGAACTCCTGATCTCAGGTGATCCACCCACCTCAGCCTCCCAAAGTGCTGGGATTCTAGGCGTGAGCTACTGCACCCGGCCGCTGCCTGGCTCTTGTTGCCCTTCTTGATCAAGTTCAAGTTCCTTAGCATGATATAAAGACAGGATACCTTACCTTTCACCACTCCACTCCCATTCCCATCTCCACCCCATGTAACTACTTTCCTTCCTCTCCTTCCCTTTCAACTTACTTCTCTTGCCATGGGCTTCTTTTCATGTCTGGCCCCACGGCTCACCCACACCCCAGGCCAAACATCTGGGAATCACCCCAGGCTGCTCCCCACGCCTCTTTCCTCTCTGCCTATTAGCTACGATGTCCTACGGGTTGCATTTCCCAAGCATCTCTCAAATCTGTCTTTTTTCCCTCTATCCCTGTGGAACAGAATTTTAAGACGTTCTCACTTTTCTCACCTGGATGATCTAGTCAGCTTCCTCCCAAACAGTTCTTCCATCTCTGGTCTCCACCCTGGCTCCCAGAGACAATTTCCCAACATGTAAATTGGACCAGGTCTCATCCCTGCTTAACATGTTCTAATGGCTCCCTGATGTCTAAACAGTCTGAGAAGGTCCCAAAACAAGTGTTCTGTGGCCAACATGCTTGGGAAATGCAGTTCACTCTGTGCCCCGCTCAGAGAGTCACTGCACACGGGAGAGTGATAAAGCTTCCATTAGGCCTGCAGTAAAGAAATCTGTTTAGATTTGTTTGACCCACTGGTTTCTGGTCTTACCTGACACAGTAGCCTTTCTCCACATTTTCCTATTCACGGTTGGGGGCATCAAGTTGTAAGGAGTACTTTTTGGGAAATGCCATCTGGCAGGATCAAGTTGAAGTTCCTTAGTGTGATACAAAGATAGAAAACCTTACCTTTCACCACTCACCTCCTATTCCCATCTCCACCCTAAGTTATCTGCAATTCCGCCTTTCCCTAGTTTTACACCTTTGTGGTCCTGCTCCCTGAGTGCCCTTAATTCTGCTTCCTAAAGGACACATCTGTACAAAT